CCGCACCCTTTGGTAGGTTTTCAGGACACCTGCATGAGCACTTTGGGGATCTGCATGGAAATTCATGCAGATTTCAAAGCGAATATAAGTAGGGACAGCAAGGAGCCACTTCTGACCACCAGGCATGTAGTTGCGGCGGTACAGAATGGTGTCTCGCACGGAAAAGTGGGCTGCTTGCCGGCGTAGCGCTCTCGTGGAAGGGACAGCAGACGGATCAATAAGGTAGTCGAGTAACAATGCAAGGTATGGGTCCTTACGCTGCTCTGAAAGCATGTCAGTGGTGTCGATTGGTGACAAGATGGTAAAAAGGGGGGACAGAGAAGCCACATCTGGTGTTAATGGCGATCGCGAAAGTGCATCGGCATCCGCATGCTTGCGACCAGAACGATAAACGACACGGATGTCGTATTCTTGCAATGGAACTGCCCCAGGCGTCCGGACGGGTCTTTCAAGGTGGACAGCCAATATAGAGCGTGGTGGTCTGTGACCACGTCGAAAGGACGGCCGTAAAGGTACGGGTGAAACTTCATCAACGCCCAGATTATGGCCAAACATTCCTTCTCTGTGATGGAGTAATTCAATTCAGCCTTCTTGAGAGCGCGACTTGCATAGGTGACTACGTATTCGGCTTGGGTGCCTTTCCGTTGTGCCAAAACTGCACCAAGACCGATGCCACTTACATCAGTGTGAATTTCTGTGGCAGCAGCGGGTTCGTAGTGACGAAGAATAGGTGGTGAGGTGAGCAGGCGGCGCAGCTGGCGAAATGCGTCGTCACATGCAGTACGACCATGCAGATATACCTTTGCTGTTGGAAAGCAGACTCGTGAGAGGTGCGATGGACGCGAAGTTGCGCACGAAGCGACGAAAGTAGGAGCAGAGACCAACGAAACTTTTTAGGGCTTTCAGTGATGTGGGCAACGGGAAGTCAGCGACAGTTCGAAGCTTATCGGGATCCGGAAGAGCACTGTCTCTTGTTATGACATGTCCCAAGATGGTTAGTTTTCGTGCTGCGAAGTGGCACTTTTTGGAGTTAAGTTGTAGGCCTGCAGAAGTTAGACACGTCAGAATCTCGGGGAGGTGAACAAGATGTGTCGGGAAATCAGATGAAAAGACTACGATGTCGTCCAAGTAACACAAGCAAGTTTTCCACTTATGGGTACGCAAGATGGTATCGATCATGTGCTCAAATGTGGCAGGTGCGTTGGAGAGCCCAAATGGCATGACTTTGAACTCATATAGGCCATCCGGCATTACAAAGGCTGTTTGAGGGCGATCACATTCAGCCATTGGCACCTGGCAATACCCAGAACGCCGATCCAAGGATGTAAAGTACTCGGCGCCTTGTAAACAGTCAAGAGCATTGTCTATTTGTGGTAGCGGGTAGACATCTTTCTTCGTAATCTTGTTTAAACGGCGATAGTCCACGCAAAATCGAACGGTGCCATCTTTTTAGTTTACCAGAACCACAGGCGATGCCCAAGCGCTTTTAGAAGGCTGTACGACTTCATGTTTAAGCATGTCATCTCTTTACTCCATAATGACGCGACGCTTTTCGGCGGACACGCGGTAAGGATGCTGTCGCAGAGGCGAATGTTAGCCGGTGTCAATAGTATGAGTGATAGTCGTGGTGCAACCCAAAGCAGGCTCTTGAAAGTCAAAATAAGAGCTAAACTTGTTAAGGAGAGCAACAAGTTGGCGGTGATGCGAGAGGGGAAGATCTGCATCGATAGCATTGTCGAAGGCTGACGAACTTGATGACCCAGACGCATGAGTGATTGTGGCAATGTGACATGGCGTATCGTCGGGAAGAGTAATATCATCGATACGGTCTACAGGTTGCACATATCCTAACGTTTCACCACGAAGTAAGCCGATGGGGTAGTTGCAGTGGTTGGTAACCAGCATTACGGTTAAACCAGACGCAATTGTAAGAACGGAAAATGGGAGAACAATGCCCTTGCGTTCAGTAAAAACCGGAGATGGCGTAAATACCACCGTTGCGTCAGGTTGCGCCACACATGAAAGGCTAATAGGGACCGAAGCTTCTGGAGGCAAGGTGATGTCGTCGTCAGCGATGAGTTTGCAGAGCAGAGGAGAACAGTCGGGTGGTGGAAATTCACATGTTGGCACAAGGGACACTTCGGCACAGGAACAATCGATGATAGCTTCATGACGTGATAAGAAATCCCAACCCAGGATAAGGTCATGAGAGCAAGATGGTAGAACAAAAAACTGTACGACGTACAAAACGTCTCGGATGACGACGCACCCCGTATACAAAGACGAGGGATGAATGTGTTGCGCGCTAACCGTGGACAGCCCCATGCCACAGAGAGATGTGGTCACTTTCTTCAGTTTCCGACAAAATGTTGTGTTCATCACAGAAACGGCGGCCCCGGTATCAATTAACGCTAATGTGGCGACTCCCTCAACATCGACATGAACAACATTTTGGGGCGATAATGGAGGCCTTGGGAATGGCGCACAAGTTGCAGTTCTTGCCTCCGGAACTGCACTGATTAATTTCCATCCACAGGAGGTGGTCGTCGACGCATAGGCGATAGCGATCGGCGACGAGGGGATGGGAAACGAGCAGTCGATGGGCGGCGATCCGAGTCGGAGTGCCTCTGTTCATATGCAGACGTGGTGGCCTGCTGCGGCGCGTAGGTAGGAGTTCCGAAGTATGTGTGCGCAGGTGTGGGACGGCGGCGGCAGAAGCGTGCAATGTTGCCAGCGATGCCACATGTGAAGCATATAGGACGATTGTCTTCTGTGCGCCACTCATTAGATGGACGGAAAAAGCGGGGTGGGGGCCTGTAAACTGGAGGCGAGGCCGGAGGAGGTGGAGCCGATAAGGCAACTAAATGCGGTGGGGGCTGCGCGACTACAGCTGCGTAGCTGAGAGGTGAAGGTGGCGCAGGTGGTGCGTAGCCGGCTGTTGATAGATCAGATGGTACCGAATTGGATGGATAAGGGGCCGGAATTGTAGGGAGGGCATCGCAAATTTCAGTGCGTATGGCCTGCTACAGTGTTGAAGGGAGGCTTGTGGTGGGCGCATTGCTATGTGGCAGCAGAGAGAGCTGTCGGGCGACTTCCTCCCTTATGAAGTCTTTAATCTGGTTCGACAGAGTTCCTTGGCAAAAGTTGCCGTTTGCGAGCGCGACGGCCGAGATTGAATCTGGCGATGGGACACTCTGTCGGGCGATGGAACGCTGACGACGCAATTCATTGGAGCTCTGGCACAGGCTTACGAGGACTGCCACCGTGGTCGGGCTTTTCGTCAGCAACATCTGGAATGCGTCATCCTCGATGCCCTTGAGAATCTGTCGAATTTTCTCTTCTTCAGGCATAGATGGGTTAACATGCCTGCAGAGGTCGAGAACATCCTCAATATAACTATTAAAAGTCTCGCCAGGCTGCTGGGCTCGGTGGCGTAGACGCTGGTCAGCGCGGAGTTTGTGGACCTCTGGTCGGCCGAACGCTTCGGTCGTGAGGGTCTTAAAGGTGGACCAGTTGGCGATGGCGGTTCCGCGGTTGGTAAACCATAGCTTAGCGACGTCAGCCAAGTAAAAGATAACATAGGCGAGCTTAGAGTCATTGTCCCACTTGTTGCTGGCACTTCCGCGTTCGTACAAGTACAGCCAGTCTTCGACGTCTTGCTCACCACTGCAGCTTAAGATTGGTGGGTCCTGCTGACGGGTAGCGCCGGGGCAGGTCGACGGGGCAGCCGATGGTGCTGGCTGTGCTGGGATGGGCTGATTGGCGACTGCGTCAGTCATGTTGTACAGTGGTCTTTCGGCCAACTTGCGAGAGCGGAGCTCCAGGTCTGCTTAGGGATCTCAGCAGCCTCCACCAAATGCGATGTTGTTTATTCAAACAGAGCAGTCGCAACGAGGTCGCGATGGAAAATGGGCATACGGCAAGTCTGGCAAAGGTGGCACAGGTTCTCGCGCAATCAGAGCACGGGGTTTTTCGATCTCTTTGGAAGGCGCATACGCGTTAGTGCGTATGCTCCACTACATGTGGAACTTCGATTATACGCCCCCCTTTTATGCAAGGACGCACTTTTTACAACGGATCGGTTTGATCCCTGCAGAATCTCCAAGAAGAGAATCTATTAAAAACCTTTGCTATACGACACAGTTTTGCGCTGGCCCCGCATCTTGCGGCAACTTTCGGAATCCGTCCGAAATGAAAAACCACCTTTACTTGCATCGAAGGTTGACCAAATATTGTCGCGAGTGAAAAATAATAACTTTCGTTCCTTTCGGTTGATCATTAAAATTAAAAATTTAGACAGTATGTCTTGGATTAGAAAATTTATTGTCCTGGCAATTTATCACTTTTCAGACGCCTTGATTGCTTCCGCACACAGGGTCTTTACCTGGAGTAGCCTATCTATAGAGTAGCTTCAGCTGGCCGAAGAGCCCATTTCTGAGAACCCGATATTTTTGTTTTTTGGTCTGTGGAAACTTTTTCTGGTCCATGTACAGCTGATCATCTGCCTTGGTTTGTGGCACTCGTAATCACGAGCTTGAGCATGCAAAAGGGTGCAATGTAACTATTTTCACCGTGCAAAATAACTTTCACCTGACATCAGCGTTCATCATAACAGCGGGATGCTGCTAGTATTTGCGCTTTATGAGGCAACAGATTACAATATCTCAGTCGAGCGAGAAGGCATTCAATGCAACCTCGTGAGGTAGTCATGCATCGCCATCATTAGATGTGGACGACACTGTGTCTAACTCTTCTGATGGGAGGCTGTTGGTAACGCGGTTTCGGTTTGGTTTTAACATGCAGGCAATCTTCTGACTCAATTTATTGAGAGAAAGATGCGCGTTGAATTTGATTTTCAAAGCTGAAAATATAGATTCGCTCGCACCTGCCTCAACTAAGTAATGCTGCCATTAGCAAAAATAATTTAATCTACTTTCTTTGGAGAAGCACGAGGTGCTGTAGGACGTGTCGAGCAAAGGGCGGTGTTCTTGTCTTCCCAGGTGGAAGCAGTGAAGAGCAACGTGCTGCAGCAGAGTCTCGAGTCCATGATGGACCGCAAGGAGGCCCTGGCACAGAAGATTCTGGAGACTGAGGATCCCGACCAGATAGCCGAAATCACCGCTCGCATAGACCAGCTGGAGGAGCAGGTAAGCACTAATCACAGCCTGTTGTGATTTCGAAGTGAATTTGTTGTGTTACGTCGAGACGCTGAACATTGCAAATGCAGTCGAACCTCTTTATTAGAGACACTGATATAACAGACAAATGGGTATAAGAGACACCAGTGTTCCTACAGTAAATTACGGGTCGATATGAAAACGCATACGAGGTACCATGCTCAGAAGAGACATCTTATATAAAAGACAAGAATTGCTACCCCTTATAAATGGGTTTGACTGTACAATGTTTTGATAAAAAATACCTGGTACAATTTTGTCCTGGTGTTACCGTGCAAGTAAAAACTCGCGTATAGTCCGAGGTGTTTTCCTAGCTTCCATTCTGTCTAACATCGGCCCCGGGCTGTGCCCATTCTCAAGAATTTTCAGCTGAGAATTTAGTTTCAGTTTTGGCATTGCATGGCTCTGTCATTATCATTAGGCCAGAACCATTGGCAACTGTGCAGTGAATAGGAAGTTTAGTAGACAGGCGAAGTATTCGTGGTTGGGGGGAAATGAAAGGAAGCTCTCTTTGTGTGCTGCTGTTCGAGAAGTTTCCGGGGTCGAAAACTGGAGCGTTGTGCGACGTTGAACGGGCTTTGACAGGCTTTGTTCAATGGCAATGGAGCACTGCCTGAGCTCCCATCAATACTCGTGCTTGGGGCGTTTCGTTGTCACCTCTAAAAAGCGGCTGCTGCACGACTCTCGCATGCCTAGCTTGTCATTGCCTTCGAAGGACAAATTATAAGCGCCGTGTGATGTGTGCCTAAATAAAACAGTCAAGGACCGTTTCAAGCACTGTATGCGGAGTAGATGCAATCAGGAGGTCCGGAAGCTACCCTTGCCACAAGGCTGAAGTAGGGCTCCCTGAGCGATGCAGTGCACGTGAACCTCTAAAACATCGACTCCCGAGGCGCTCGTTCGTTGTGCCGTCCAGGAGTGCTTGGTTACAAACACTTTTGATGGTTGTGAAGGTGAGGAGCTGTGGGAAGACATATCGGACTAGGGAGTTTCGGAATGAAGTGCGTTAGACGATGATGAATAACTGTGTGGATAAATTTTTTTTAGTTCCTGTGTTGCTATATTACTGTGAAAGCTTTTCTCTTGCGTTTTCTATCCTCAGACTATGGTGGAGTGAGGATATATTGAAATTGACAAATACCTGGAAAAATTTGCTGTAAAGATTTCGTTGTGTGCAGGTTTGGTATGAAAAATTTGAAAAATAATTGCACAAATTTAAAAAAAAAGGGAAACTGAAGGCAGAGCTAACCTAGAACACTTATTGGGCAGTAAAAAATGCGTTATTTTAATAGCAATCATGTGTACACTCTTGGTGAGAGATGGGGGAGGGGTGCTGCCGCTGCCATGTTTCGTAACAAATTAATAACATGCCCCCATGCATCGTAACTTTTACGAGTGGGTAAAAGTGTGTGTGCGAGGGCTGCTGAAGCAGAGATAAAGTGAGTCGGCTCTTCTCTATCGCCTGGAAGCTGCATACAATAACATTCCTCGCATGTTCAGGCTGCCGTCGATTGCTCAAACAGAAAGGAAATCACCAGTCTTCAACAAGCGTGAAAAATCGCTGCAGGAGGTGTAGTAGCAATGGTGTTAGCAATTGATGTTAAGTGTGCAGTCGGACCGCTGGTGCTCGTGCTATCTTGGCAAGCGTCAGTGCGCTTCAACTCGAAGAGAGTGTGTGAAAAGAGCACTCGTCCCTGGAGCGGTCGTACTTGCTTACAACAAAGTTTTGTAGGAGTTCCGCGATATTGGACCCACGAGAGTTGTCTGCCTATCTTGTATAGCATTACGATTTGTTGATATTGCATTTAAGGCGCCACCATGTTGTTCCAGAGCTGATCGCCAAAGCATACAAACTCACGGCACGGCGCAAGATAGAAGCGCGTGACGAGTCGGCTTCCGAAGATCTGTCTTTGTCACCGTGGTGTCAGTTTCCATCAGTGCCTAATCTTACATCTCCTTGGTGGTGACGACATGGTTATCCACATTAAAAAACAAACAAGCCAAAAAACCAAAAGCTGAGCATCGTCGGGGCTGCGCGTACATGATGTCGAAAACGAAGAGCGAATGACATGGATACAGCGGAAAACTACTCGGTAAAGCGCCCTCCATATGCAGTCCAGCCCCACGTACGGGACGCTAACTGAAACCGTGGCACTGCCAGCGCAAACTACTTTTTCTTTTTTTCGTTTGGAGGGAGGGGTGGGCACATTCGTCCGTGGAAGCTAGAACGGCTCGTGGGGCACAGGCCTGCCGCCGTAGCCAGCGTGGGAGTTGCGGGGCATGAGTGCACCGCCGCCACTACGCGCTTCATTGGCGGGGGCAACTGCGGAAGACGCACGTTCTTGCCTAAATGGCAAAAATCGGGGCAAGATTCCTAGATTGTCCGTGGCCAAAATCAAGGATGTCTCCACGTTACTTGTTACATAGAGGGAGCAAGTCATGTGCTTCAAGGATAACGGCGGGGAATAGAAAGCTTCGTTATATCGAAAATTCATTATATGGAGGTTCGTATAGGCAGGTTTCACTGATATCCGGATCAGGACTATAGATGGGTCGGACTATATGCGGGTTCTTATGGAATCTTGCAGCATACTCTCAGGGTTGTGCACTGTTGGGGGATATGGCCTTTCAGAGACAAAGTGTCAATCACTTGTAAGAGTTTTTGTTGGATCTCGCTTAGTGACCATGATACAGGAGCAGAATGCAGCATACCAATGAACCGGAGCGCGGCACAGGTTCAGCGCTGGCATGACAAAGCCCAACTGCCTGGCGATAACTGGCATACAGGCAATTTACCAACCTTTGCTCTACTCCAGAAAAACTATTATATTCATGAAAGGTGAAAGCGCCTCAAGTCAACATAAGGTACCCCAAGTGCTGTTGAAGAAGCTTGTATGCGGTTCTGTATAAGGACCTCTGAATTTGCTAACACGGTAGCCTTCGAATTGTGAAAAAGCTGTTGGCGAAAGGTGTCGAGGATCTAGAAATCTGCCTTGGAATAGTTTGAGGCATTGTGGCAATATTGTTAGCAAATAGGTTTTCTACAACTTTTCCAAAACGTTTGATACAAACAGTGTAGTTGAACATCCGCCGACAGCGCCTTGGTACTACAGAGAAACTTCGATGCCGGGCGGCCACCACTTCGCAAAACTGACATCTGGCGTACCCCTGATCATAGGCCCCTGTGCTTTCACTGTGGGGACAGGCCACATCGTTCGGTATTGCCCGCATCGCGCCGCAGGGTACCAAGGGTTTCCTTCTACGGTTCCTCGGCGCCATTTCAACGGAACATCTGACGTAGACACGAGTGTCATGACCTCGCGGGATGTTCCCCTGGGTTTCGGTCACGCTCACCCTCTCCTAGCGTTATTCTCCATCCTCTAGACGGAGCACCACTGACATGCCAAGAGGGAGATCTCCTAGTTCACGCCGGGGAAACTAAAAGCAGCGACCTCAGGGGGAAGGTTGCGAATCGTCGAAGTGCTGAAAATCCCCCATTACTGCTGAGTGAAGAGACACATTTTCAATGAATCGACGAAAGATGGGGTTGTTACTGCCGAAGTTGCAATTACAATTGACGACATGACGTCATGGAATTGGTCGACACTGGCGCGGGCTTCTCAATAATGAGTGAGATCTGGCAGACACGCTCAGGAAGGTTAGAATGGAATTGACAGGACCGCAGATTAGAGGAGCGGGGGCAGCTACTCACACCTACCGGAAAGTGCACCGCAAGAATGATGATAGGGGATGCATCCTTCGTCGCAACTTTTGTTTCCTTTCTGAGTGCTGCAAACAGGCGATCTTGGGGATGGATTTCTTGCGTGAATATGGTGCCATCATCAATATCCGAACGGTGTACTGACCTTTTCAGCGGATCAAAGCGCAGCGCTACACCGAAAATCCCTACGAGTCATTGACGATGTGACCGTACCTCCGTTATCTGCCGCCTTGTTTCAGTCTGCAGCGAGCAGAATACTGGAGAAGGAATCGCTGAACAAGTATTGACGCTCCTACTCTCTCGCGGTGTTGCAATTGCCAGAAGTATCGTCAACGTTGTGTGCGGTGAAGCAGAGGTTCTGTTGACGAATTTTACCAACAAGCGACGACACATTACACAAGGCACTACAGTTGCTACTTCGACGAGATCACCGAAATCCGCGAGTGCTGTGTAGTACAACAGGACGAGCCGCAAGCCACGTCAGCCCCACCACCTATTGACGTAAGCTCGGATTTGTCACCAGCGCAGAGACGCGTCTAGTAGATTTTCTTCACCAGTTCAAAGACTTTTTCATCGACCTCGAGGGTCAGTCAAACGCCACTGACGAAGCATCGGATAATAACGGAGGAGACGGCAAGGCCAATACGACAGAACCCATACCGCGTAGCACCGAAAGCGTGAAGCAATCCAGGAACAAGTGAAGAAAATGTTCGATGATGACGTCATCCAGCCGTCAAGAAGTCCTTGGGCATCGCCGGTAGTGCTGGTTAAAAAGAAAGACGGAAGCTTGCGATTTGTGTCGACTACCGCAAGCTGAACCGTGTGACAAAGAAAGACGACGTGTACCCATTACCGCGCATAGATGATTCACTCGACAGGCTGAGGTATGCACGCTACTTTTCGTCAATGGACCTCAAAAGTAGGTATTGGCAAATCGAGGTCGACGAGCGAGATAGAGAAAAAACGGCTTTTGTAACGCCTGACGGGCTTTATGAATTTAAAGTCTTGCCATTCGGATTGTGCTCAGCCCCGCAACATTTCAGAGACTGATGGATACCGTTCTGTCAGGCCTTAAGTGGTAGACATGTCTGGTCTATCTGGACGACGTCATGTTTTTTTTTCAAAACATTTAGGAACACCTGAGCAGGCTGCTATCGGTTCTCAGGGCAATAAGGTCTGCCGGCCTGACACTGAAACCCGAGAAGTGCTGTTCGGTTTCAAGGAGCTTCAATTTTTAGGCCATGTGGTGAGCCATAAAGGTGTTCGACCTGATCCTGATAAGATTGGCGCCGTCATGGAAGGATGATTTGGTAGGCGAAAATCGCAAGGTGTGCCTGCTCGTGGACAATTGTTCATCGCACCACTGCAGTACGACCTTCAGCAACATCGAGCTGCATTTTTTGCCCCCGAACACTACGTCTGTACTGCAACCACTGGATCAAGGTGTTATACGCGCAATGAAAGCCGCTATTGGAAGCGCCTGGTGGAGAGGCTGCTGCAGAACCTTCGTGTCGCAGGGCTTAAGATCGACTTGCTCGGAGCTATTTCTATGTTGAGTAGATCGTGGGCAGATGTCAAGAAGGAGACGATTCAGAACTGCTTTAGGCATGCCGGCTTCCGCATGCCTGGTGATGACACCCCAAATTCTGACAGCACTGAAGACACCGCAGGTGTTTCCGCCGAAGTTTGGAACGAGCTAGCACAGTTCTCGGGTGCTATCGACGAATGGACATTCGACGAGTTCGTCAGTGTGGACGATGATGTCCCCATCATGGGCCAATTACGGAATGAGGATTACATTGCAGACGTCGTGCCGACCACGAGCCAAAGGGACAGCAATATGGAAATCGACGATGGCCCATTGCCTACATCCTCCGAAGCGAACAGTGCACTTGCGTTGGTCCGGAGCTATTGCTTGAATGTGGAAGGTGGCGGCCTCAGCTGCTCCGACTCGTTGGACAACGTGGAGGCGTGCGTGCTGCCGCAGGCAGCGAAGTCGTTGACACAGAAAAAAATCCGGGACTATTTTGTTCCACAGTAGGGCACGCAAGTAAGCCACCATATTAATAAAGTACTTTTCTTCTAGTTTGTTATGTGCCTTTGTGTCAAAACCTATACTGGGCCTATATCGAATTATACCATATGTCGAACTAATAAACGTTTTTTGGCGAATTCGATATACCCGGTTTCGACTGTAGTTACTAGGTACGTTTTTTGTTCCAACGTCTCCTTTTTTTTGCGGCATATGGAGAATTTGTGACATATATAAAGGTATGCATTAAACTTGCATTTTAGATAATTTAACTGCAGAATCATTTATTGGTTGCTATTTAAAGTTGTAAAATAAACACAATCCTAATTTTGGTTGGCTTTTTCATAATTCTGCTGTTATAAGTGTACTGTAGTAATGGTGATCCAGATGTGACGGGCAGAAAGACGACTTGCCTCTGGCAGGGATCGAACCTGCAAGCTTTGAATTCCGTTCGCTCGTTTGCAGATGGCCAAGACTCGCGATCTGAGCCTGGAAGAGCTGCTGGAGCAGGCTACGCGCCCCATTGACTGGCTGCGCATTGCAGCTGTCGACATGCGGACGAACCGGACAGCATTCGACTGCGAGGCGAGGTGGCGCAACCTTCTAGACGTGCGCCTGAACCAGGACCCCTGGACGCCCGAGGAGGACGAGCGCCTGGCAACCGTGGCCGCCAAGTGGAAAGGGCGCAACTGGGACCAGGTGAGGGGACCTGCGCGTTTTCAATGAAGCCATCGAGTTGACAATGGGGGCAACAAGTGTGCCTTGTTTTGTTGTTGCTCAGAGGGGTGTTTTCGTGGCTTGTTGAGAAATTTCTTGAAAAGAAATTCATTGGGCAACTCTGTCATTGAGATCATAGTTTTCCAAAGTTAACCAGAGGGGACTCTGGTGCTGCAATCGTTCAGTTTTTGTGGAAATGATGGGTAGTACACAGATTTGCCTAGTCTTTGTGCTTGCGGGCTTTAAATGCACTTGTGGCTTAGTTTAATTTTGTGTTTTGGTTTTTTTTTTTCAATAAAAGAATTAACTGGTTTTGAACTTCATGACCCGATTTGAATTAGTGAGCCTAAAAGGTTGCAGTGGTGAGAAGGGATGGCTCAACATTCGCTGATTGTCAATTCGTGATAAAGCACCTCCAAGCCACGTGAAACTGAATGAAACTGAAAGTACAAAGAGTAGGCAAATCCATGTACTACCCGTCATTCGCATGCTTGCTGAAACACCCTGCATTGCAGCTTCCATAGACACTAGCGCCAGAGTTCCTCCTAGTGTATATATAGTGAGATAAGATGAAGACAACCCCATTGTTAAGATGCGTTTGCCGTCGGACAGTTTGGAGTGCGGTGTTCAGCCACTCTTTGTCGTGGCTACTGAACTACTGTCACCCGCAGTTCAGTAACCGCACCACTGGCTGCTTTCCTTGGTACCTGCCCCAGAGTGATTCCTGACCCATGCACCAGGTTTCGGCCATTTATGAAACCGGAAAAAAGGTGTTTGCACATTATTGTTTTTTCTTCAGAGCTTGTTCTGTGCACAATGCATTGGGAATTTGTGACCCAAGCCTGCATATGGTAAGAGCCATCTTTTTCACGGGCTCGTCGAAGTGTGCTTGCATCCGCTGACTGCACCGGGTGTGGTAGTGCGCTGCACTGTATAGGCCGTTATTGTGCAGTGACATTGCTCACATCTTGAGTCGTCCTTGTAGTTGCTGCGTCATAGTTATTACCGTGTTACTTTAAGTCTGGACTGATACCACCCGCCGCGTTGGTCTAAGGCACTCGGCTGCCGACTCGCAGGTTGCGGGATCGAATCCAAACTGTGGCGGCTGCATTTTGGATGGAGGCGAAAATGCTGCAAGTCCGTGTGCTCAGATTTGGGGGCACGTTAAGGGGGGACGCGGCCTTTGAAAACCGAAAAATCGCGAAAAAGTCGATTTTTGGCAAACCACATATTCGGGCAGTATGTGTCATAAACTACCTTTTCTGTAAATATCAACGTCTAATTCGTCGCGAAACCTTTTGAAATAAAGTTTAGAACATGCCGCGGCGGCCCTCGAGCGGCGCGCGAGCGCTCAAAATACCCCAACTTGGCGTGATCGCAGTTTCTCGACCGCTCGACGGAGCGCCGCCATTTTGGTGTTGTTTTGTTTGTGAATTCTTGCTCTTTCTTTCCCCGCCACCTGCGTCGCTGGCGGCAGCGCAGGAGAGGAGCAAGCCGCTCATGATTGGAGGGCTCGCGAGAGCTTTCAAGTTTCCCGTGGCTGAGGCGCGCAGCTGGGATTGGGCGAAGCGCGCGCTCTCCGAGGACGCGGGGGAGCCCGCGACTGCCATTGGCTGCTGCGCGCGATGACGTAGTGCTCTTGCGCATAATGCGGCCGATGCGGCCGCTCGTCTGCTGCTCCTCCGTCCGGCGTCTTTGTGTTCTGCTCGCTTCCGTGTATCGTTGCAGCCGTTCGCATACTCTCCACGTTTCAACTGTCTTCGAAACGACTTTCAACCGTCTTTACGAGACGATTTTCAACCGTCTATACGAGACCGTTGTTGTGTTCGCTCACGATGCGCCCAACGAAAAAGAAGACGCTACAATCGTTCGGTGCAAGGAAGCGAGCTATGAAGCTTGTCCGCGCGGCGAGGCTCTCCGCTCGCACGTGCGCCGACGGTGATCGCGCCAACGGTACCTGTGGGGCAGCTTCTGCTTCATCTACGCAAGAGAGTGGTCGCATCGACGCGCCTAGCAACGGGACTCCTGCTCCGCCGGACTCCTGCTCCGCTGCTACAGGGCCACCCAAGAGCTAGCTTCATCAGTGGGGCTAACACCTGGCCACCTGGCCATTCAACGGGCAGCCGAGAAAGATTCTCTGCGCTTGAAAAAGGCTAAGAAGCGATCCCTAGAGAAGATGGAAAGGCGGCAAAGAAAGAGAGTGCCAAAGGACACCTCCAGTTACGCTGCAGGTTCATTTTAGAACTGCCTATGTGCTCAAAACTTTCAAATGTCGTTTTCTCAAAATGACTTTTTTGGCTAGTGAGGCTGCTTATTCCAGCCATATCTCTGGAACCACTCATTGGATTTCCATAAGTCTTTTTTTATTATGTACATGAATAAACTGGTTTTGAACTTCACCCGATTTGAAATACGAGCTAAAAGGTTGCAGTGGTGAGAAGCGATGCTCAAATTCGGATTGTCATTCGTGATAAAGAACTCCAGCCACGTGAACTGAAGAAACTGAAGTACAAGCGTAGGCAAACCATGTATACAGTCATCACATGTGCGAAAACCCTGCATTGCACTCCCATAGACACTCTGCCTAAGTTCCCCTGTGTATATATAGTGAGATAAGATAAACAACACCATGTTGATGCTTTGCGGCGGACAGTTTAGAGTGCGTTTTGCCACTCTTTTTCTGGCACTGAACTACTGTCAACTGCAGTTCTAACCCACATGGCTGCTTTCCTGCTCCACAACTTCTGCCCCAGCACCAGGTGAGGCCATTATGAATGAAAAAAAGGGTTGCACATTAGTGTTTTTTCTTCAGAGCTTGTTCTGTGCACAATGCATTGGGAATCTGTGACACAAGCCTGTATATGGTAAGAGCCATCTTTTTCACGGGCTCGTCGAAGTATGCTTGCATCCGCTGACTGCACCGGCTGTGGTAGTGCGCTGCACTGTATGGGCCGTTATTGTGCAGTGACATTGCACACATCTTAAGTCGTCCTTGTGGTTGCTGCGTCATAGTCATTACCGTGTTACTTTAAGTCTAGACTGATACCACCCGCCGCGTTGGTCTAAGGCACTCGGCTGCCGACTCGCTGGTTGCGGGATTGAATCCCAACTGTGGCGGCTGCATTTTGGATGAAGGCGAAAATGCTGCAGGTCCGTGTGCTCAGATTGGGGGCACATTAAAGAACCTCAGGTGGTCAAAATTTCCGGAGCCCTCCACAAGGGCGTCTCTCATAGTGATATTGTGGTTTTGGGACAATGAACTCCACATATCAATCAATTTGGACTGATACTATTCTTCTTACAGTAATCGTATACCAAACTGTAGGGTCAGCTTAGACCCTAGAATTAAGTAAATGCATCAGTTTTATAAAATCAAAAGAGAATCGCTTAACGATGGTGGCGTAATTCTATTATGATACTTCGACTTTCTTATGCCTTCATTAGCTGTATTCCATTGGTGAAAATTTCTGGGCTGTGGCTTTTGACCAATGGCAGATAACCAACGGCCAATTTAATGGGTGTAAAATGAGAGAAGGCCTGTGTGTTTATATTGAGGTGCACATTAAAGGATCCCAAGTTGTTAAAATTAGTCATCCGGAGTTACAGGATACTGTGGCACATCTCACGATCATACCATAGTTTTCAGCAAGTAAAGCCCCAAGACTTAATAGTTTACAGAGTCCTATAAATTTGAACATTGACCGAAAAGGCTATTAGTGATTTAGCACACTTTCATTTGCCCTGTTTCGCAGGAATGGTTTGTGTGTTTGCACTTGATGGCTACCTTGTTTACTCAATTATAAGTATCCTCTTTTTTTCACAATCGGGATATTCAAAGTGAAGGGGGGTGCCTAAATTTGAAAAATGAACGCTGTTACGCCTGCGAGTCCACACCGAACGTCAATGCCTCTGCAAAGGCAATCTGTGTCAAGGCCAGCGGTCGAACCCGCCTGACGCAACTCAACGACGTCATCAAGCGGCGGTGCTGGTCTGTCATGCAACGCACAGCGACCTCCCTCAACCCACGAGCCCGTTGAAGCAATCAGCGTCTTCCAGTCTGGCGAGTCTTACGCAATGCGTGAGAACGTCCCTTTTCCTTGGCTGCAACCATGCGCAGCGGCTCCAGATTTGATGAGCATGATGCGGCCCGGCGGCGGGCCCCATTGGCGGATTCTGACATCACGGACAGCGGCGCTTCTGGTTGGACGTTTGGTGACTCAAAGGATCCACCCGGTGCCTATAAAAAAAAAGCCCTGCGGCGCGTCGCTGGCAGTAGACCTATGTGTCAAAGGAGCCTCTCGTTGCGTTGAACCCCTTTCGCAATCGGTGCGCCCGGTGTCCTTTGCAGCGGCGAGTTTCATGGCACCCTTCGTAACCTCGTTGGCGGTGCACTTTGTAACAGAAAGAGAAGCCGACGGATGCATGCGAGAGAAGACATCTCGGCTCTTCGAGTCCCTAAGCTGTCGGCCCCAGTGCCAAATTTAAAACGCCTCTATTTTTATGCTGCCTTAACCTTGCCTTGCCTTAACCCACCGTCGTCTCGTCCGCACGTTTATCAGCTCTGCGCAGAAGCACTCGTGAGCTGAGTAACACATGCTACCAAACGGCTGGTGGCCTTGGCGGCGTAGTTCGGAGCAGTGGCGCCTTCGGGACCGTGTTGGCGTCTCTGCTTCGTAAGACCGCTCAGCCCAACCCCCTTTTGCGGCAACATATCAACAAGGCTGATGCGAGAAATTGCGTTTAATTTGAAAGAATTAATAAAAATAGGTGCGCACAGTGAACGCACCACTCTTGTAGCAGGCCGGTCACTATCACTGCCGCTCAAGTCCGTCGCACCGCTTGAGTCCATCGCACCATTCAAGCCACCACTGTCAGTGTCCCACAACAGATCATCTTTGGTGCCATCCAGGTTGTTTGTAATGCAACACTTCTTGAGCGACTTCGCGACAACGTCGACTTTGTTACGTTTCCGTGTGTTCGAAATCCATGTTGCCACGGTGGACAGAGACACTTTCTGCAACTTTCCGGTTGCTGTTATTATTTTTTTTTTTTTGAGGTTCCGAACTCGCCTTTCATGCTCCTGTCGAAGGTGGGACTTGAACGGCTTGTTCACTGGGGCGTCCAGGTGTTGCAGCACTGGTGTCATGCCTCCTGAAATTGCGACCGAGCGTTTTTCTTCTTCAGAGTTATGTAGGGTAGAAGATTGCGCTCGTCAGCTGTGATGCACAGCATCGCTGTGACACGCTGCTTCTAGTATTCTGCCATCTTCAATCTCACTTCTTGGGCTCCTACTTCATTAATGGTGCATGCTCTCGGCTTTTTGAAAGAGACAGGAGTCTCATCGGTATTGCTGCCCCGCCGCGGTGGCCTAGTGGCTAAAGTACTCGGCTGGTGACTCGCAGGTTGCAGGATTGTATCCGGGCTGCGGCGGCTGCATTTTATATGCAGGCGAAAATGCTGTAGGCCTGTGTACTCAGATTCAGGTGCACGTTAAAGAATCACAGATGGTCAAAATTTCCGGAGCCCTTCACTACGGCATCTCTCATAATCATATGGTGGTTTTAATATGTTAAACGACACATATCAATCAACAGTCAATCAATCAATCAATCAATCATTGACATTGCCGATTCAGCCGAAATCATAGCTATTTATCTGTGAAAAACCAGCAGATGTTGCTGGAAAGCATCGAGTTTGTCATCAAAATCTGTTGCCAGCTTTTGGCGTATTGGTGTCAGATGTCTCAAAGAAAATTTGTTCCTCTGCATCTTGTGCTCCCCCCCGCCATTGCTAGCAAGAAACACCACGCGGGAGAATCTATTCTCATCGCGACCTCCGTTGCCTTTGCCTGCTTCCTCCACCTGTTGATGCAGGCTCGGTCCACGCGGAATTCTACTGCAACACTGTGTCTGCCATTGTCCTCATTAAATGCGATCGCTGCTTGCTTAAACTTCAATTTGTAGGAAGCCCTCTTTGCACCGATTCTGACCAATGTCAGGGCTATCCAACAACTGAGAAAGACACATGCACATGCCACACGCCACCGCAAAGCTAGCCTAACCTGTTTGTACTTGCAGATTGGATTGGATTGTGCCGCTGCCTCTTGTCTGCACCTAGCAACATACATCACATGGCGGCTTTCCAGATTAACGACGAGAGGGTGCGCTGCGGCCCTGACTGTGCCATGCTTGCAGAAAGTAAAAAAAAAGAGGGGTGCTTATATCCGCAAGCAAACGTTTTTTCTAAACTATTTCTAGTTAAAATGGGGGCGGGAGTGGGGGTGGGGGGGTGCTTAGAATCGAAGGGGTGCAACAGCTGCGCCAATTGCGCCAATTTGATAAAATTCCTCATCTATGCGCCGAGCTGTGTCAGAACCATGAAGTTTGCTGAAATTGTGCCACGCTGTGCCAAAATGCCCGACCAGCCTACAAATTTTCTCAATTGCCCTAATTTGAGTGAGAAATGGAGACCACTTTAGCTACCTGTACTTTGTAACATCAATCTACGCGGGCAGACCCTAACCCTAAACTGCAGTGTAAGATAGCTGCTCGTTAGGCCAAGACACTCGTGAAACGCGATCGACCAGATGAAGTAACGATGCTGCGCGCCTGTCGGTCTGCTGACCGCAGCAGATATTTACCGGCGGGACGACGGAACTTCAACACGGTTGCCGTAGTCGGCAACACTTCGTGGGAAATATGAATTTCCTAGTCAGCAAGTGCGGCCATGGCATGTTGGAAACCATTAGGATATAAAGCTAGAAGTGTACAAATTCCCAGCACGTCTAGCTTGCACGCTTCCAGCTTTAGTTAATGCCGTCACCACGTCAGTTGCCATAGCAATGCCACATGCGATAGATATTTGGTGCCGTTGCCAGACCAACAGGCACGTGCCATTATTACTTTACCTGGTCAAACGCGCCTTGCAAGCAAGCCGAGAAGTTGTGCCCTAAACCTAACCCCTTCATGAAAAAAAAAAAATGGAGTGGGGGGGGGGGACGTTGTGGTTTGAAAATTTCTTGGTCTTGTTCTAACCTGTGCACGAACACCGCTTAAGTTCACCTTTGCCATAGTACATGGGTGGCCTGCGGAAAAGCGTTAAAATTTAGAAGGAGCTTATAGTTGTAGTCTCTAGACACTGCACAGTTTGTTCAATGACACATAATTGTGAGTACTAATATGCTTGCTGATGTCTAAAAAAGTGACTGGCAAAATTATTTGGAGTACAATATGAGATCTCTGCAGCTGTAAAAATTCTAACAGTTTCTTTTTTCCAGTTTTACAAATCTCATAGGCACCATCATGGGGGATCTACATTTGAATTCTCAGACTCTGTCAAACAATTTGACAGGCATGGTGACTTCCTATCTGGACCTCATCATTGTTTTCTGAGTGGGTTAATAAAGAAAATACTACTTTGTTGAAATAGCAGTGCTCATATTCCCTGTGCATGATTTAGGGAATGTAAATGGCTTGCATATATATATATGTTTTTTAATCTAAGCCTTCTTTTTCAAGCTACTCGTAATTCGGTCTTTCATGGTAAAAAATTTTCTCTTGTAACCTGCTCCAAAAGTAACATTTTGCTGCTCCAAAAATCGCTTCAAATTCCATTTCGGCTGTCGCACCCCTCCAGTCGCAGAAATACGGAAGTTAGCTGGGATGTCAAGCCCACATCTGTTTCTGCATCACAGATTGCCCAGGAGTTGAAGACCAACCGCAGCGCGTACCAGTGTGCGCAACGCTACACGAGCCATCTCGTGAGGTGCCACAAGACGGGCTCCTTCACGGAAGAGGAGAACCACAAACTAAAGCGCCTCATCTCCGTCTGCTCCGATGGGGACAACATATCCTGGTCACAGGTGGGCCTCGCAGAACGCTGCTTCGTTGCGGTGCTTTCTGGCGTCCCGCAGCTTCCTAGTTTTATGATTGCAGAGGCATTGCCGATGAAGCAGCCTTGACGAATACCTTCGCCGAAAACCCTTCCCAATCGAATCCTGGCCGCAGCGGTCGCCCTTTTGATCGAGGCGAGAATGCTTGAGGCCTGGGCTTAGATTTAAGTGCACTTTAAGGAAACCCAGGTGGTCGAAATTTCAGGAAACCTCCACTACGGTGTCTCTCATAATCATAATTGGGACGGTAAATGCCAATGATTATAATCTTCTGTTTTAATAAATGGAATTTGCAATTCAAACAGCAAAAAAAAAAACAGCATGATGAAACACTGAGAAAGAAGCAACTCCCCGTTAGGGGTAGTGGTCTGTGTTTTCGGTTTGAGTGTAAGAAAAAAAATTCAATAAACACCCGTTGGTAAAATTCTTTGCAATTCGAATTTATCTGATGAACTCTGTGGGGTCTCGGCGAGGCGAACGAGGGCATCGCCACTCCACGCTCTTGGAGTGAACGGACACAGCAGACGCGGTCGGTACAAAGCACACAACATACATACATTTATTAACTAATTTAGACGACGATATCGTCCGCCGAATGATACACCAATTTCAATTAACACGCTACCATACAAACAACATAGCGCAGTGACACACTAAACACACACTAACATGATAAACACACACTAACACACCCAACACACATACCCAAGGCGCGTCGCCAACGCCTGACTTTCCACGTGGGACCCCGGCGCGAAGCCTGCGGTGCCGAGCACCGGGAACCCACGCTACAGACAACCGTTCGCGGCAGCCGCCACGCGCAGAAGAGACTCGCTCAACTCTCGCCCACCACCAAGGCCTGTCTTCCGCCAGGGGCCACCGCCGGCACAACCACTCTACCAACAGTGGTACTCAAAGCGAACACAACTCCATCTATCGCCCGGCGGTGGTCACCACCGAAATAAAGCCTTGGGGCGAGACTCATGCGCCACGCAGCGCAGACAACTTTACAGGGAGGGTGTCAGCACCCCCACAACTACAATGTTCAAAGGGCATTCTCAGTGTTGAAAGGGCATTTTGAAAGCTGGGAATCGTGAAAGGAGAGCACCTCAATCAGTGGCAGTAACCTCTTGAAGAGTGCTTTCATTTATTAAAACGTTTAGTGTTGCAATACAAATGAACGGTGCGCTTTTGTATTGAAGTATCTGTGCTTGCATGTATGTGCGATTGAGAGTTCAAACCTTCCAGATATTTAAGATACACTTAGTGGGTTCGTATATATGTAGTTAGATAATTTCGAATAATATTTTGCAGTATTGAGAATAATAATAAATAATAGGTCCCTCATTTCTCATCAGGACAATGAGGGAGATGGCAAGAAAAAGTCGAGCTGCAGCTAAGGTTGGCGATCTTGAAGCAGTGCACATTAGCAGCTTTATTAACAGGCCTAATATACAGCAACTGAGGAAAAAAATAATGAATGAATGGAGAAGCAGGGTTATCACCAATTTCACTAGAAATAATTAATAATAAGACCACATGTCAACAACTTTCAATGCAAAATTAAACACCGAATTCCAGAGCATTGGGGAATGACCAGAAATAAACTGCGATAAACACCAAATTTTTTTTCCAAAAAGTAAACTCCAAGAAACGCCCTCTAAATTTCAAGGGAAATTAACTCCAAAAACATTGAGCCCTTGATAACAGGGCAGGAAACTGTATACTCTCAAACCTGAATATAGTGAACACACACATAACGAAATATTGGTTATAACAAAGTAAATGACAGATAGTGTTGGACTAGATACAAGGGTAAGAGTAACCTTTGTAATGAATTATTAGATACACAGTAAAACCTCGTCAATACGAACTCACTGGGCCTGCGAGAAATCTTTGAATTAAGCAGGTTTTCGAATTAACAGAACATCCACTAAGGGGGATGCAAAGAACTTGGAATCATTCGAATGAGTCAGGCCTGCTTGTTTTCTGTGCCAGCTAGTTTGCAGCTCCACGTTTATGTTTTTCAGTAATACCAAGTCTTGATTTCGTCACAAACACGAAGGAATAGCGAGGCTCGCTGCTGCCACAGGGGAAAAAAAAAAAAAAAAAACTGTCGTGATCAATTGAAATGCGCGCCTGCGAAAAATAAGACTTCTTCACTGCAACACAGAATTGACTCATGGGCAGCATGCCACTTGCTCTCCTCGCTGCGTCAGCCTGTCATCATGCTACCATACGCTCATTGTTTCTGGTGCAATAAAGAATTTAATAAATGGCCAGTGCGGCAGAATTTGCTATGTGTTTTGGCCAAGAAACATGATCTTCGAAGCTTCTTAATTTAGTTTTCGAACCACGCGTTGAAGGCAAGAACTCGGCCTGCAGTGCAAGTGCACGAATTGCTGGAGCAACCGGCCATCGAAGATTCTCATACACCACGAATCCCACCAAACTGTATCTAATTAATTTCGTTACAAACACAGAAAGGAGTAAATCAGGATGTGCTGACGTTGCTAGAAACATGCAATAAGCTGCCCGCGCGTCACTGCTGTGCTATGGTGAAGCATGTGTTGTTTTCCGCAAGCGCACATTTCGGTTGACCACGCGACTGTCTTTTTTTTTTCCTTCTTTTTTTTTTGAGCTGGAAGTAGCGAAGCTGGGACGCTTCAGCTGCCACTCATATGTATTGCTTCGTTGCATTTCTTTGTCGCTCTTAAGGGCCGTCCTTTCCGAAGATTCGCAGCGAAATCGGGAATGGGCACATGGCACCCAAAGTTTTCGAATTAACCAGACTGGTCCTGACCGCCGCTTCAAGTTATCTGCTCACATTTAGATTGAGAAGTACGGGACCACCGAAGTGTTTCGAAATACGTGGGATTTTGAAATAACTGAGTTCCAATTAATGAGGTATTACTGTATAACAAACTTTTTTTGTTTGTAGTATGGAACTGTTCTAATACAGCTTTATGTTGTTCCAATGGACAGAACTGCCATGCGCGCTTTATTCATTTTTTTTTCGTGTGTGCATTTCTCAGTTTTATTAGCGCATTTATGTTGTTCCAGTGAAGAGAACTGCCGTGTGCATTGTATTAGATCATTTATGTTTTTTGTGTGTACATTTTTCAGTTTTCTTAGCTCATTTATGTTGTTCCAGTGAAAGGAACTGCCATGTGCATTTTATTAGATTATTTGTTTTTTTGTATGTACATTTTCTTTTTTTATTAGCTGATTTATGTTGTTCCAGTGAAGAGAACTGCCATGTACCCGTTTTTTGCCTTAGTCTATACAGTCAACTGCCGATTTTTCGGACACCTGAATTTTCAGACATGCCCGATAATACGGACATCTTCGCGGCACCACCACGAACCCCATGGAATCAATATATAAGGAAGTCTGAAATTTCGGACACTCGAACCCCCCGGAGTCCGATTTTCCCGACTTTTTGACGCGACGGAAGGTCGGAAACCATTACTGACCTCCAGTGGAAACCACCACAACTTTGTCACACACGATTACGATCGCATAAATGAGCGCGCCGGTCTACTGTGCCGGCATCTGTTGCTTGGACCTGTTGATCGTTAGCGAAGAAACGTACACGGCCTCAGAGATTCCTAACACTGGCCGTGTTTATCATGCAAGAGTGCTTCGCTGACAATCAAAACTGTCCACTCGAAAAGTTTTTGGCACCAATAAAATTCCTTTTTCTTTAGCGCTTGTGCTCGTGCGGCTCTGGCTTCCCACGCAGCGCTTTCGCGAAGCGTTTCACCACTTCGAACTAGAACTAACCGTCACACACCGATTTGGCCTGGCCACGCTGGCTATCTTGAATGTTTACCAGCACGGAGGTTCCTTCCTCCGTGGTTTACCAGTGTCACCTCCAGAGTACCAGAGGCACCGTCGCGCCGTTTTGTTTACGCAACCCACATGGTGTTTGGCTAGCCTAGTGCGTGGTTGTGCGATTGTGTGAAGTGTGCTCTGCAATGCTAAGCCTAGGTGCTTCGACGCTCGTCAGCAAACTCCTTTGTTAACATCGTGAGGATTTCGCTTGCCTGCGATGGCTCCCACTCCGCCTTCGTCGTCCTCGCCGATGGCATCGAAGCGCGTAAAACAGTACCGTCGGTTAACGATGGAGAAGAAAGCCGCCATTATTAAGTTAGTGAAGAGTGGCCGATCGCAGGCTGAAGTGAGCAAGGAGTTCGGCATTTCCAAGCAAACAGTTTCCGATTTCCTGAGGAACAAAGACAAGATCTTGGAAGCGGCCGAAAAACCGTCTGGTGCCCAAAAGATGAATGCAAGCCGAGGTGTTCATCCAAAGCTTGAGGACGCTCTGGTCGTGTGGCTTAATTCAATGATTGCCAAGCGGTTTCCAGTCTCAGAGCTGCATCTTGAAACAAAAAGTAGAAACTCTCGCGCTTCGAATGGACATCACGGATTTTAAGTTCAGTGATGGATGGCTGAGAAATTTTAAGCATCGGAATGACCTCAAGTTCAAGAAGATGTGTGGCGAAAGCGGCGCCGTCGACAGTGCAGTTATTGCGGAAAACTCCAGTCTTTGTTGCAGCAGTTCTCTGCTGACAACTTTTTCTACTGCGACGAAACTGGCTTGTTTTACAAGCTGCTGCCGGAAAGAACACTCGCTTTTGCTGGTGACGCATGCCATGGTGGCAAGCATAGCAAAGAATGGCTGGCCGTTCTTGGTGGCAGCAACATGTTTGGCACCAAGAAACTTCCTTTGTTAGTAATCGGGAAGTCCAAGAGCCTGAGGTGTTTTAAAGGTGCAATGCTGCCAGGGTTATACGAAGCCAACAAAAAGGCATGGGTAACGCAGCAGTTGTTCAAGAGTTACGTCCGCAGGTTGGACAGAAGTTTGAACAACAAAACACAAGTGTTCTGCTCTTCGTTGACAACTGCGTTGCTCATGGTCACATCAATAACTTGAAGGCTATCCAGTTGGAATTCATGCCGCCCAACACGACTGCGATCCTCCAACCGATGGACCAAGGCGTTACCCGTAATCTGAGTCTTTTGTACCGTTCACGTATACTCAACCGCGTGGTGCTGTGCTCGGAAAGTGGGAAAGGCTACAGCATTGACCTTCGGTCTGCTGTCGAAATGCTTGCGGACGCATGGAAGGCAGTAAAGCAAGACACGCTTCGCAACTGCTTTCGCACACGGGCTTCGTATTTGACACAAAGGCTGCAGACTTGCCTGAAGAAAGCGACAGCGTGACTGACTTGTGCCTCTCATGGATGATATTATCAACGATCTCCGCCCTGCTGGTGCTTCCATGCCCACGGAAATAACTTTTGAGTGGTTCGTCGACGCTGACGAGCTCGACTTCTGCGCAGAGCTAACCGACGACGAAATAGTCAGTCAGGTTATGGCGGATTCAGACGACTCCGATGTCGAAAATGAGGAACCAACGCCTGCGCCACCTACGACCGCCGAATTGATGCGAGCATTGATGACGCTGTCATCGGTGTACAGTGATGACATGACCCTTGCTCAGATCGAGGCGAATGTGATCACATGCAAGTGGAACGCCGTTCAAAGAAGGATCAAGTTTTTCAAGCCACTGCAGCTCTAACACCGGCTGCCCTGACGGCACCCGCTGTCAGCTGCATGCATTTTTTTTAACAGCTCTTTTCAGAGCCACCCCACTGATGCTTCGGCAGAGTTCCGGAAGTCTGGTACTTCGACCTTGACCCTCTTGATCCGTGAAATATCAATGAAATGGTGCGTTTTTCGCTTGCATTGAGAAATAATAGCGAAATGGTGCGTTTTTTTTTTTGCTTGCATTGAAAATTATCAGTAAAATAATGTGTTTTTTTTGCTTGCATTCGTTTTTTCGGGCTGCCCGAATTTTCGGAGTTTTTCGCTGCTTAGAGGGTCCAAAAAATCTGCAGTTGACTGCACTCCGTTTGCCACGTTTGCCAAGCCCGTTGTTACACACCCTGTCAAGCTTGATCTAAGGCTTTTTTTCTTTACCCACCAAGCTCCATCGATTGTCTTTGAAGCTGAAAATAAATCCTTATTGATTATTGATTGATTGAGTGTAGTCCTGTTGACGAGCTGGCCTTGTCCATGTGCCAGTTCAGACTGCACAGTGCGCAGATGTATTTTTGACACTGGTAAAATCATGCTTTTTAAGTGGGCCGAATCTCTTGCTTGTGCCTGCTTTTAGGTCTGCATCAAGGAGTCAAATAGCGGTCCCACTGCCGTGTCTGCCACGTTTGGTGGTGTTGGACTGCTCTTCGGCTCCATTTTTTGTCGGCAGGCGCAGCCTCGGCTGCTGTTTCGATAGGGCAAGCCTCGATTGTTTTCGCACATTCGCTCTTGCAGGTGTGTCACTATATGGACTGCCGGTCTAAGAAGCAGCTGATAAACCGCTACCACTGGTCCCTGTATCCGAACATGCAGCGGGGCCGCTGGTCAGCGCAGGAAGATGTCATGCTGCTTGTCGCTGTGAAGCTGTACGGGGACGTTAGCTGGTCCAAGGTTAGCCACTTGTTTCCCTTAATTTTGCTGTGGACCGGTGGGCACTGCCGGTTCGCTTGCCCTGTGTGTACTGTAGAATCTCAACGATAGTGGCGATTCCACTCCTGTGCCAAATGAGATTTATTATGCCCTCTTTTATAGCAATAATGGAAATTGTGCCAAACTGCAGCTAAGTCTCGAGTTTGAGGCTAATCGCCCAGCCAAGCTCTGGAACAGCCGCACTGCAAAAAGGAAGTTTGTTCTTAGTGTATTGCGTACTGAACACTGTTATAAGTCGCTCTTGCCACAGTACACATGCGTAATGCAAAAAAGCTCTCTGGTTAGGAGCAACAAGCAGTTGTGGGACACAGCATGTCTTTTGTCTTTAATTATTCACAATTGCAAGTGCTGCATAATAATAAGTACTACTGCAACCCCTAATGTCTAAAACATTTACATGCAATCATTCAGAGCTGATTGCGACATTGCTGTAACCCTGAGAAATAAAAAACAACAAACGCTACACGAGTTTTTATGTTTCCCCTAGTCATATGTATGAGTTCTCTGATAATTCGCACAAAATCCTGGCGTCCTTTCGAGTTTTGACCATCATGAACACACGGTTACGCTCTATCGAAGCCCATCAGTTCACCATTCTGAAGTGCACTCTTAATTAACCAGTGTCCTGGCCACATTTCAGGTGGCAAGCATGGTGCCAGGTCGTACACACAGGCCAGTGCAGGGATCGCTACATGGACAACTTTGCCCAGCAGTTTGTCTTGGGGCCGTTCACTTCGGATGAGGACTGCACGCTGCTGCAGCTGGTGCAGAAGTACGGAGCTGGCCACTGGGCCATGGTGAGATCGTTCATCAGTTTGCTACGCTTGCAGGGGAGCTGGCGAATCCGTGTAAAAATTGTTGCAATCAAGGTGAGTTTAACGTTAATCAAGCAGAAGTGCTGCAACTACACTGTTCTCAAGCTCATTCATCAAGTCGCAATGACCTTAAGGAGCCAGGGTGCAACTGTGACCGGTTGTGATCCGCTGTGGAGAGGCATTGCAGCCGCACTAGCTCCAAGCATTGCCACTGCAGTAACACATGACTAAGCGAAGTGGCTACCTTGCCGGCCGGCACTTTGTTGGCCTAGATGCTTAGTACAAGCGTTCACTGCCATTGAGTGTACGAGCATGGAATTATAATAATGATTTAAACTTCCTGGCTTAAAGCCGGTCACCCACTACAGAGGCGCACACGTTGTTGCGCCTGTGCCTTTAACGGCCTTAGTGGCAGTGTAGCATGTTTTAAATGATTTCATTCACTAAGTTTTTAAAGTGGGCACTAGGGATAGGATATCGCCATCGCGTTGAACTCTCAAAGACGAAGCTTAAGGATCCCCCCCCCCCCTTTTTTTTCTGCAGTTTCGTTTTGAAGTTTTTAACAAATATTCTAGAAATATTAGACAAATATTTTATTCGATTAGCACTTGCACTTCAAATTCGCTTCACACACCAAGTTTCGCAATTCGCAAAGCTCCAGAAAAAGTCTCGACAGCCACTGAACAAGCTTTACTGTATGCAAATGAATTCCATCTCACTGCACCCATCACCGGAACAGTCGGCTGGCAGCCATTTGCCAGGGTGTTCTGAATAGGGCAGTCCTCAGCCATTCAAAAAAAAAATGCAATTTTTCGCTTTTACAACCAGGATTTCGAACAGGCTACTCAACAATCGACCACATTCATACTATCAATCAGGTAACAGAGAAATGCTCAGAATATAACCAACCACTATACATAGCCTTCATAGATTACGAGAAGGCGTTTGATTCAGTTGAAATATTGGCCGTCATGCAGACACTGCGGAATCAGGGCGTCGATGAAGTATATGTCAACATCCTGGAAGAAATCTACGGGGGATCAACTCTTACCATAGTGCTTCATAAAGAAAGCAACAGAATACCAATCAAGAAGGGTGTAAGGCAGGGGGACACAATCTCCCCAATGCTATTTACCGCGTGCTTACAGGAGGTTTTCAGAAACCTAGAATGGGAACAGTTAGAGATAAGAGTTAATGTAGAGTACTTTAGTAACCTGCGCTTCCCCGATAGCATTGCATTGCTGAGTAACTCAGGGGACGAATTGCAACTCATGATTACGAAGTTAGACAACGAGAGCAGAAAGGTAGGTCTTAAAATGAATCTGCAGAAAACGAAAGTAATGTACAACAACCTCGGAAAAGAGCAGCACTCCGAGATAGGTGATAGTGCACTTCTAGTTGTAAAAGACTATGTCTACTTAAAGCAGGTAATAACTGCGGAGCCGAACCACGAGATGAAGAATAAGAATGGTCTGGAGCACATTCGGCAAGCGCTCTCAAATTATGACTGGTAGATTGCCACTATCCCTCAAGAGAAAGGTATATAACAGCTGTATCTTGCCGGTACTTAGCTACGGAGCAGAAACCTGGAGACTTACAAAGAGGGTTCAGCTTAAATTGAGGACGACGCAGCGAGCAATGGAAAGAAAAATGATAGGTGTAACCTTAAGAGACAAGGAGAGAGCAGAGTGGATTAGGGAACAAACGGGGGTCAAGGATATCATAGCTGAAATCAAGAAGAAATGGACATGGGCCGGGCATGTAGCACGTAGACAGGATAACCGCTGGTCGTTAAGGGTAACTAACTGGATTCTCAGAGAAGGAAAGCGGGTTAGGGGGAGACAAAAGGTTAGGTGGGCAGATGAGATTAAGAAGTTTGCGGGTGTAAATTGGCAGCAGCAAGCACAGGACCGGGTTAACTGGCGGAACATGGGAGAGGCCTTTGTCCTGCAGTGGACGTAGTCAGGCTGATGATGATGATGATGATGTAGTTTATCGCTTGGATTACCTGTGTTTTGTGCATTGCCAAAGCTCGTAGTCGAGAAAGAAGCACGTAGTCGAGAATTCACCCGTCAGGCGCTGCAACAAGCCCCATTCAATTGGCTTTTAATGTGTAATTGTGCTTGCACAAATTTATTTTAAACATATCACTCCAATTTTAACCTATGTAATACCTTAATGTCCACTCTGTCATATACAATCTTTAGCTTAACCCATTCCTCGTATTTTGCATTAAAAAAAACAAACAAAGCTTTTCGTACAATTCACACCGCCACTAAACAGGGTGCTCTGAAAAATGGCAGTGTGTGTCACTTGTTGCTGGTGCCATAAAGAGGGAGCTTTGAAAGTACAGTTACAATTGGTCTGTTTCAATAACATGCAATTTAGGGTTAATAACTACAGTCGAACCCCTTTATAAGAGATACTGGTATAAGAGGCACCAGTGTGCCAACAGTAAAGTACGGGTTGATAAGAAAATGCATATGGGGTACCCTGCTTATGAGAGACACCTCATATAAGAGACAAGAATTGCTGCCCGGAGCATGTCTCTTAGATAGGGGTTTAACTGTATAAGAAATTGAGTGCTCTTAATGCACGCGAATGAATCTGCATCAATGAGAAGGAGTTCACAAGAGAGTACAGGGTCTGTATTCAAAGTTGGTGGTATGGTCTTCACGCTGGCATGCTGTCCCATACCACATTAATGTATGTTACAGTCAACGTCCGATTTCCTGAACCTTCAAGAAACCGTGAAAATGTGTGGAAAATTGGGCAGTCCAGATAAACGAATGCATGTGAAAACGCACCTTTTTTTGTAGGTATTTTTCGCTAACTGAGAAGGTGACGGTGGGAGTACAAGATTCCGATTGCGATTCAACCAATGCATCGTTTAGATGGCTCTGAAAAAAGCCATTCATAAAAAAAAAACCGAGGTGGCTGGCGTTATCTCATACGTCAGCGCTTGGGGGCAAATAAGTCTCCTATTTTCTTTTGCACGGCGTTCCGCTTGCCCGCGATCATGTCCGCCTCAATTTCAGTCAACGTTGTGTTGCCACTGTACACCGATGACAGTGTCATCAGTGCTCACGTCAACTCCGAACTCGTTGGCTGTGTTCGATGGCTCTTAGTTTTCAGTGTTAGAGTCATCAGAGTCCTGCGTAACTTGAATGATTTTGTCATTGGTCAGGTCCGCACATAGCTCGAGGTCTTTGTCAGCGTCGGCGAAGCCCTCAAAGGTTATCCCGACTAAAATCGACTCGCCGGCAGCGCGCAGATTGTCGAGGGAACATCCGCGGATGGCAGTTCGTCACACACGCTGTCCACTTGGGGCGAGACGACCGTCTCGGCGTCGAGTCTGAAGCCCGCATGGAAAGAACAGTTTCGCAGAGTCTCTTGGGTAACCGCCTTTCAAGATTCCCCTAGCATGCCGACGGCAGACCTGAGGTCAACAGCGTAGCTTTTCCCATAGTGAACCTACGAGGGGGCTCTGTGCGCTTCGAAGGCGCAGACAAAGACGAAGGAGCAGTTGGTGCCATCACTGGAAACGGTGAATCTGCTTGACGAAAAGCGCAGCAGGAAACAGCTAGTAACTCGGTAAATACTGAAGGTCAGGAAACGAGATCACTAAAGATAGCGCGCAGCAGGAAACGATCAACCGCAGACACGACCGCAAAGCTGACAAAACAACACGTGAACGAACTGAGTGAGGTTTGGCTTACCTAAACTGTTAAGCTATGGCTGGCAACGGATTGACATGTGCGGTTTCGAGGTTAAGGCAGCTGCGGTGCGGTGGTTGGTGACGCGAGGATATGAAAACAACTCAAATGGCGGCGTCTGTGGTGACTTTGGATCGGCGGTTCATAGTAAAAAGTCTGGGAAAATGGATGCCGAAGGCCATAAGCCTCCGAAATTTCTGACTTTTTAATACATTGACTCTATAGCGAACTTGGCAGTGCCACAGATGAGTCCGAGAAATCTAGCATGTCCGCAATTTCAGGCATCCGGGAAATCGGACGTCGACTGTATTTAGTTCGACCTGCGTCTGTACATCTTTATTTTATTGGATCTCGGAAATACGACAAATGCACTTCCCCGTTGTCGGTCACTGTTCTCGCCTTCAAAGCCTCTCCTTGTGACGCTTGTACAGGCGGCACGGGACATGCCCTGGCGTGCATCCAACACGCTGCTGATGCGCTACCGGCGACTGTACGAGACCCTGCGCACCAAAGAGCCCACAGTGGCTGACGTGGAGCGCTCCCTGGCGGTACCCGTGGCTCCCATGACTGCGGTGCGATGTGCCCGTCTGACAGGAATGGACAAGCGCATGGACCTGTACCGGCGCATCAGACGCCTCCTCAACACAGATGTCATGAAGCGTGCCGCCCTTTCGCTGGTCAAGGTAGCCACGGCCACTTCTTTTGCCTGTTTGGAATGACGGAGACAGAATATAGTTGCCGCTGCATGAAAGAGCTCTCTCTGATCATTTGTGTCAAGCACTGCTCGCAAGTGCTCTTTTCTTTAGAGCTGTTTGCCGTGATTCCACTTTTGCGCAAAACTGTGCTAAGCTGCGCGAAATTGAGTTTACTGTGTCATCCTGATTATATCAATATAGATTGTGCTGTACTGCACCGGAGTCTTGGGTTTGATGAGTCGGCTATCACTGTTTATCGCACCGCCAGCGCATCAAAAATGCAGCTTGACCTTGAGGCCACCAGTGTCACTACCAATGATCGAGCATTACTCCCGATTGAGCCACGCCACCACGCACAGTGCAGACACAGCTTTAGTTGTGCCAGTCGGTTGACTGAAGCTACATCAATACTTACAGTTAAACCTAGAGATAACGAAACTGATGCATTCCCCCCCAAAATTTCTTAAACACAAATTTTCGTTATATACAGTTTCAGTGTGAAATTTCGAAAAAAAAAGATGCACAAATAAAGTGAAAACTGGAAGGCAGGTCTTTTATTTATTTGGCTATCAAGAACTGCATTATTATTGTGATAGAAATTATATAGACTCTCTCGGCGAATTTTCACTGTCATGTTTCATATAGAGTCCAAATCGATAGCATCCCCCTGCGCATCGCAAGTTGTACCCATGGGTAAAAGCGTGCGAGTGGGGGCCCAAAGTGGATGCTGATATTTCGAGGAGCACCGTGCACCGCTTCTGCTCTGTGGGGTCCTTGTCTCCGTGTTGTGAGGGGCACCGCCAAAGCGCGTGCTCTAAATCGAATGTTCCCCCGCAGTTGCTTGGGTATAGATCGTACTTGAAAGCGGGATTCGGATAAGAAATAGTTGTAGCATTCTAAGAGACATTTCTCTGGCTAAACAGGTGGGGGGATTGAATAACTGCGTATTCTTGAGGAGTTCGTTGTATGGATGCTCACTATAGGCAGGTTTAAATGTACGTGTTGTCAGTTGAGTGTTGGTTATGTGGTGTTCACTGGATTTGACTGCATCATTCATTAGGTGCAGGACAAGCTCTGCAGGCGTAGGGTTTGACTGGCTCCATACGCAATTGTTGCATGTGCCCATGTGAAACAGCTGAGTTTTCTTGGCAGAACTGGAACGAGAATGTGAGCCGGGAGACGTGCATGAGGCTGTACCGCAAGATGCTGCAGTTTCAGCAGGGCACTCGCCCACCGAAAAACTCTCAGATGCAAGGCCGTTCCCTGACCAAGGTCATTGCCAAGTACGCGCAGCCCCTGCATCAACCCATGCTGCCCAGCCTGGCTGCCTGCGAGCACCAGGAGTGGCAAGCTGTGGCCAATGGTATGCATTACCTTCTACAGCACTCGTGTGACATTGGAGCATACGTGATGTTTCCAGCTTAGCATTGGTCACCTAAGGAGGTCGTTGTTTAGAAAGCACCGACTCTAAATTTCGAAGGCGAGATGAGTGAGATGAATTTATGTGGAGACATACATATCTATCAGATATCACAGGCAAGTATAGCCAACTTTCGACAACTTTCTGTAGCAGCACAGCCAAGGCTACGAAGCCCAAGCGCATCTTTTCTCGCTACGCTTCTGCTCGTAGTCCATGAACACTTACTTTGGTATGCTGGGTAGCATAATGGAAAATATAAAAAGAAGAGATGTGAATATTACAAGATTGTTCGAATTATTATTACAAAGCATCACCCGTGTAGGTTTTTTGTTCTTTGCTGTTTCTAGTTTTCTTGTTTTTTGGTGCCGTTTCACTTTTCCCTGCCCCAGTAAACAACATATGGCATTGCTCGGTTGCAGCAAGTTCACATCGAACCTTATGAACGAGCATCAGTGCGTGTTCATTAGCTATTAGGTGATCTGTATTCATCGAGCAGGGAGAAACGTAGACAGTAGTACGTCATAAAATATTTTGTTTCCCGCACATGCACTCACCAAAAATTTGTGTGCTATTGATATCATCAGCGAAAGTTGTACTCGGATCGCTATAGCCGCCATGGAAAGTGACACTGGCGACCTGCCAGTCTTCAACAACACCAGCTGCTTGGAAGAAAAATTGCACTTGGAAACTGTACGTTAAACCAATGACCCTATTCCTAAATTGCTTTGCATACGTGGTCAGTGTTTCAGCTGGCTAATACTGTTGATACGATAACGCTGAAGATTGTGTACCGTAACATCGCTCCCGACTATGTCTACGGAGGTACCGTATTTACTCGCCTAATCCTCGCACTTTTTTTGCCGAAAAATCGATGCTAAGTTGGGGGGTGCGAGAGTTACGTGGGGAGAACTTTTCACGAGAACTTACCGAGCGAAAAAAAAAAAAAAAACGAAGTGGCCGCAAACCGGGATTCTCACACCAGCAACTAACAGCAAGCTTTGAGAAGTACTAATTAAGAGTTACCTCAACAATAAAAGCAGAGGTTCAACACAAGGCAAGATTTATTTGAGACACAAAAAGTGCAAGCGAATAGTCGAGAATTAGAATACCATACGCAAAGCTTGTGGGCGTTGCAGATGTAACTGGTAGCGTTCGTCGCTCAACAGGAGCCCTTAAAAGGTAAGCGTAGGACGTCAGTATTGGGCTCATGGCTATTTAACAGAATCGTCCGCAGTTTCCTTCTGACGAAATAAAGTTTACCATCAATCCCAGTTTTAGGCCCACGGCAGGCCTAACGCATCTTGGTGGCGTTCAGCTGCCGTAACCAGTAGCGATCACAAAACTCGTAGACTCCGAAGGGCCTACCGGCAGCCCTGTTGCCATCGTTTAGTGCCGTTGTTATCTATCACTTGCAACTTGAAGCAGCCGTGTAGCTTCAGTATCACACCATAACGTGCCAAGATTACCGACACAGCATACAAAACACGCCGCAACGCGCACTGGCCGCTTCGGCTTGGCTTAGATTGGATTGAATTTGCGTGCAATAGTATGCTTGATGCTTAAGAGATGGCGCCAAATGGCATGCGCTATCATCATTAGTGGCTGGAACGAGCAGACGACATTATTGCGGCAGTTTTCGGGGGTGCGATAATTACTCGAAAAAAAAAAAAAGAAATCGTATTTTTCTTGGGCGATGTGGGGGGTGCGAGAATTATGCGAGTGCAAGGATTACGCGAGTAAATACGGTAGTCGTTACTAGTGCTATGCCTGGGTAACAGACGCGTTAATGTATATTACCCTGTTGACTGTGAAAAAAAAAAAACAGCGTTCTTTGCCGAGTAAAAATTGCATTCCAATTTGAATTTGCTAACATCAGACGCCCACTTATGACCAATCGGTGTCATGACTGCTGCTTCCCGTCGCTGCCTTTGCGTCCCTTAAAAAAATATTATGAGCTTCTCCAGCATGTTCTTGCGTCTCTTAAAGAAGGAAAACAATGATGCTGACCAAGTATGCACTGCAATTTAGGAAATGATGTCTTGGCTTTGCGTTGTTCCAATCGCCCAGAATCTGCTCAGCCATACCTTTCTTTTTCTGAAATAAATCGCAACGCTCCAAAGATTCGTGCTTTATGCCTTTAAAAATGAACATTTTATTTATTTCCTCCCCATAAAACTTAAGATTTTTTTATAGTGGTCGTGCGAAAAAGTGCATGTTGGATGCGCTTGCGAAACTGAAACCGAAATTGCATGAAAACGGACTACTTGGCATAATAACACATGTGCAGAAGCTTCACCCACGTAGCTTTGGCTGTGCTGCCCCTGAAAGTTGTCCCCGAGTGTAGTTGCGCATGCTTTTCAGGCCTGGTTATATCTAGAAAAATGGGTCTGTAATTTCTGCGTCGTCGCACAATAAAACTGCACGTGAATACACTGCGGAAGTGACTAGCTGCGACTAGTTGAACTTACTGCATCACAGGAAAGGTAGCTTTACAATTATCATAGGGGTCTGTATAAAAAAAATTTATTTAGAACTCTTTATTTCCGAATTCACACACTATTGATGATTCGCCTCTCTACTTTTCACGCATCTTAGGTCATCGTTTTAGCCAGAGCATATGTCGCTGAATTTTTTTCTTTGTTTCATTTCTCAGGCTTTTCACGGCACTGGAACGCTCGGTTACTAACATTTCTTGCTGTGTGAACACTGGGTGTTTGGAAAGCTCGAAAGTGTGTTAACTGTTATATTTCAAGGTTTTGAATGTTTAAAGAGAGTGTAATTGGAGAATTACATTTTTTTTCTTCAGTCATCCCCAGTAAGGTAATGAAAGATTTATAACTATTGTTTTTCGAAAAGCTAGAACCATAAAAAACTGCTTAACATACATAGAATCCAGGGACATTTAATACAGCAAGATCTGTGCTGCCACTTCAATAAGAATCAGATCCTTATATGTTTTCATTAATTATTAACTTTCAGAAATTTAAGGGTACAATGTACATAAAAGCTTAACTTATATTTGGTATCAGTGCAACAAAATCTGTGCATGAAAAGTTCGAGTCGGTATAGGTCCCATTGAATTAATAGTGTGTGCTCCACACGCTCCTTGAGAGAACTAGTTAACAGAGAAATCTTGTGCAAGGACTTGGCGATACCAAAAACACTTATTTCATGAATGGCATTTGCTATTGGTTTGGTTGGCTCTTTTTATGTATCACTTGCAACTTGAAGCAGCCGTGTAGCTTCAGTATCACACCATAACGTGCCAAGATTACCGACACAGCATACAAAACACGCCGCAACGCGCACTGGCCGCTTCGGCTTGGCTTAGATTGGATTGAATTTGCGTGCAATAGTATGCTTGATGCTTAAGAGATGGCGCCAAATGGCATGCGCTATCATCATTAGTGGCTGGAACGAGCAGACGACATTATTGCGGCAGTTTTCGGGGGTGCGATAATTACTCGAAAAAAAAAAAAGAAATCGTATTTTTCTTGGGCGATGTGGGGGGTGCGAGAATTATGCGAGTGCAAGGATTACGCGAGTAAATACGGTAGTCGTTACTAGTGCTATGCCTGGGTAACAGACGCGTTAATGTATATTACCCTGTTGACTGTGAAAAAAAAAACGGCGTTCTTTGCCGAGTAAAAATTGCATTCCAATTTGAATTTGCTAACATCAGACGCCCACTTATGACCAATCGGTGTCATGACTGCTGCTTCCCGTCGCTGCCTTTGCGTCCCTTAAAAAAATATTATGAGCTTCTCCAGCATGTTCTTGCGTCTCTTAAAGAAGGAAAACAATGATGCTGACCAAGTATGCACTGCAATTTAGGAAATGATGTCTTGGCTTTGCGTTGTTCCAATCGCCCAGAATCTGCTCAGCCATACCTTTCTTTTTCTGAAATAAATCGCAACGCTCCAAAGATTCGTGCTTTATGCCTTTAAAAATGAACATTTTATTTATTTCCTCCCCATAAAACTTAAGATTTTTTTATAGTGGTCGTGCGAAAAAGTGCATGTTGGATGCGCTTGCGAAACTGAAACCGAAATTGCATGAAAACGGACTACTTGGCATAATAACACATGTGCAGAAGCTTCACCCACGTAGCTTTGGCTGTGCTGCCCCTGAAAGTTGTCCCCGAGTGTAGTTGCGCATGCTTTTCAGGCCTGGTTATATCTAGAAAAATGGGTCTGTAATTTCTGCGTCGTCGCACAATAAAACTGCACGTGAATACACTGCGGAAGTGACTAGCTGCGACTAGTTGAACTTACTGCATCACAGGAAAGGTAGCTTTACAATTATCATAGGGGTCTGTATAAAAAAAAATTTTTAGAACTCTTTATTTTCGAATTCACACGCTATTGATGATTCGCCTCTCTACTTTTCACGCATCTTAGGTCATCGTTTTAGCCAGAGCATCAGTCGCTGAATTTTTTTCTTTGTTTCATTTCTCAAGCTTTTCACGGCACTTGAACGCTCAGTTACTAACATTTCTTGCTGTGTGAACACTGGGTGTTTGGAAAGCTCGAAAGTGTGTTAACTGTTATTTTTCAAGGTTTTGAATGTTTAAAGAGAGTGTAATTGGAGACTTACATTTTTTTTTCTTCAGTCATCCCCAGTAAGGTAATGAAAGATTTATAACTATTGTTTTTCAAAAGCTAGAACCATAAAAAACTGCTTAACATACATAGAATCCAGGGACACTTAATACAGCAAGATCTGTGCTGCCACTTCAATAAGAATCAGATCCTTATATGTTTTCATTAATTATTAACTTTCAGAAATTTAAGGGTACAATGTACATAAAAGCTTAACTTATATTTGGTATCAGTGCAACAAAATCTGTGCATGAAAAGTTCGAGTCGGTATAGGTCCCATTGAATTAATAGTGTGTGCTCCACACGCTCCTTGAGAGAACTAGTTAACAGAGAAATCTTGTGCAAGGACTTGGCGATACCAAAAACACTTATTTCATGAATGGCATTTGCTATTGGTTTGGTTGGCTCTTTTTATGTTCACCATGTAAGTAACTTGCTACGAGAGGCGCTCGGGTTATGCAGTGCAACTTTTTTGGGACCTCAGTGTAAATTCTTTATCATTTAGAAGAGACTTGGCCTACATGCACTCACAGAACACAGCATGAAATTTAGATATGGTACTTAGACCTTGATTTTCTCCTCTAATAGTAGACTTATTGATGGTAAGGTTGACATTAGAGTTCCCAGAGAACACTTGATTAATCTAAACCAATTTATTGTTTCACTTTGGTTTGTGGGGGTAAAATGGAACCTGCTCGCACAAAGTAGGGTGACCTGTAAATTATTGGGAGAGCCCTTCAGTCTGTAGGGGATGCTAGATATAAAAACAGGCTGACGATGATTACGCGTGGTGCGCTCAACGTTTGGTGTGCGTGGCTTTTGCCTTCCTCCTCAGTGCTGCACGACCTCCACGGCTTGTCGAGACCACCTCCGAACCCAGAAGTTGAGGAAGTGGGCACCGTGCCCATCTTTGAAAAGTTCTTCTCTAAGGAGGTGCTTGGCGTGCCAGATGCATTCGAGACCAAAGAAGGCTGCCTCGTGCTTCCGCTGCTGCCGCCCAACGAGGTATGGTTAGGCCGCGTTGTTTTGCTTGAAACGATGGCTAGAGAAATAGAAATTCCTTGCAGCTCGAAAAATAATGAAATAAAATCGGGAAAGTTATAATATGGCTTCATTACTTTATTATAGTGTAAATTAGTTCTCGAGCTTGCGGTGCGAAGAAAAGTGCATAAAAAAGGGAAATTGTCATTTGTCATTCAAGTGTATTTTGATACATATTGAATGCATATGAAGTTTCATATGTACTTTCGTACACATGGCATTCATATGTGTTAAACGCAGATTTCATGCAAATTATATGAATGGTTATTCATATGGACTTCTCAATAAGAAAACTCACATGGTTGGTCTTGTGACCACGGGTGGAACAGCTGCGCCACGGTGCGCCAAACTTGCTTACCTGTGCCTTCTTGCGCCGAGCCTCCCCTGCTGTGTCAAACTTGCCTACCAGCACCTTACTGCACCGCAGCACCAGAATTTAGCCGCAAAGTATGAAAGCCATCAAGCACCGTGCCCGGAAACGTGGCTGAAACGTGGTCTTTTCAGTTTGATCGTAATGGCTATAGTTTCGGTTTCGTGAACACTGTGATCGCTCCAGGCGCAGCTGTGGACTTTAATCACATGGGCATGGTTGTGATCGCTATGCGTGCGCGATCCTGGCAGGCATCAGCGGGAGAGGCTCGTGGACCCTTGTGCATGCTGGGATCTCAACGCAAGCACACTGCGAGGAGAGCATCACTCCCTGGCAGGGCTGTGTTTTCTTACACCAGCATTTTTATAGAGTTATGCGATATCAGATCTAGAAGAGTTGGCTGCCAGCCTTACAATTTGTTGCTGTCCCATTCATTGCTTCGCCATTCCAGTGAAGCTGTCTTTCTTTCATAACTTTACGGCAGTGTTTGGAAAAGAAATAAACGTTGGAAGTAACGGTGCTGGAAAAATTAAGGCTGGTGTCAGTTTCCGGGAACAACTTAAGGCTGCTCTGCAGACCGTACTTTTTTATTTTTCAAGATATCTGGATGAAACTTTCAGGGCATATTGGCTACACTAAAACTAGAGGAACTGAATAGTTGCATGCAGCTGTGTTCTTTAGTTCCAGAGTTATGGATGTCTAACTGGGTTGTTCACCTGGGTACTTGAGGAAGAGTATCGAGAAAGCTCAGGACATAGTAGAAAGCTAAAATTCATTGTGGTCGTTTTTTGATAGATATCCCAGGATACTACAAAGCCGTTCCTTTTTTAATTTTCTCTCCAATAAATATTCATGCGACCTTGAATTCAGTGTAGCTAGTAATTACCAGGTTCATCAAAACTGAAATGTTATAAATTAACGACACCAATTTTCAGACAAAGAAGCCGCTTGTACTCTGGAAAAGTCATTCAAAAACAGGATAAAAAAAAAGCACACAAATTTGATGAGCGGTCTTTGAGTTTCAGCTTTCCTCAGCATCACAACTAGCAAAAAAATTCATTCTGAGAAAACGGGCCTAGAAAGTTTGAAACTTGCATTTTCTTCAGAAAGCTTCAACAGAATAGCTAGAAGTATTTGGATGCACTCTTTTCTTCTTTCGCCTCGTCTACATCTTTTGGTGTCGTTGGTAATTTATTTTTAGGCATAAAGCGTCGAAGTGCTGGGTCCGGCAATCTCGGAAACACTCGGTGTCATGCTCAATACAGTCGCCCACCGATTTTTCGGGCCAGGGGGGGACCGAAAAAAAGTCCAAAAAATCTAACAGTCCAAGAAATTGGTTTTTGTCAAACATATGAACGTTATTCCATCAGGCAGGCTTAAAAATGTCCATGGTTCGCCCGTATTTGTGCCAAGGTGACATCGTCACCGTAAATGCTCGACAAAAGCGTCATCGCGGTGGCGATCTCCGCTGCCGACAGCAGCGGGCGATCATCGTCGTCATCCTCTGAACCGCTCTCCGACTGCGGTACAACCCGGCAGAGAATTTCTTTGTCTGTGGGCTCTGCACAAGAAATAGTCATCGTCCCGATGAACGAAGTCTTCATACAGGGAGTTTTACAATAACGTTTGCGGGTGTTGCGGGTATAGCGGACGCATTATGAGCTTTAGAATAGTGTTTGCTTCCCCTAGGGAAAAATTTAGGAACTTTCGCTTCGACCGTAAACTCAAATGCACGGAAGCTACAGACATCATTTTGAGGACCTCGCGGGTTGTTATCCCTGCACGCTATTTCGGATTTTCTGCGGGCGGGCCGCAAATGGCGACTCTCGTTACGACAAATGCACAGTGGCAGCGACCGCACCGCAAGGGCTCGCGACGCGCTATTTTAAAGCTCCCTAATGTCATTGTGGCAGGCACATTCACTTCGCCACTGCGTAGCTCCGCTTCCTCCCTGTGCGGTGCGATGACAACAGTGCTGACCACAATGGGTGACCGAAGACGAAAAAATGTCCCGTGTTGGTTTTCTAAAGCAGACACGGCTTCCGAAACTTGAAATATGACATTTGCTTACCAATCTTGGGGGCAGAAAAGCCATTTTAAAATTAAGCCACTAAGCTTAGTCAAGCCGGCGAAAAACCCAACATGGCGGCGTCCATACAGATTCGTAGTGCAGCCCGAAACAAGCGATTTAGTCCGAAAAATCGGGCGTAAAAATGCATTAACCCTTGGGGAACCCTGATGGTGCACATTTGAAGTACGAAATATCTAAAAAGTCCGAATTTTTGAAGTCCGAAAAATTGGTCGGCGACTGTAGCACTGATTCGGAGCACGTACTAAGTCCCGCAATTTCTGAAGCACTCAGTGCGATCGGGGCTTCAGCCTTACTCAATGTGTAGTATTCTTGACTGGGGACTGCTGAAAGCACTGTTCCGCCGCTGCAAGCATCCACGCAGTGGGCAGTCGCAGCAGAATAGTGGCATCGCGACGTTGTACAAACCGCATAGTGTGCCTCTGTGCAAAGGACCTCTGCACCATCTTTGGCATCGTTACCGGCATCGCATGCAACAACTAAGACGAAGAACACAGAACTAGTGGAAAAAGAAATTGATATGAGTGCAAGAGGCAAAGAGCAACGAAGAAGACGCCGGCCGAGGCAGATAACAACGGGGCGAGCGAGGGTCATCGGAGGAAGGGACCACTCCTGCTGCTGTGCAGCAACCAATGGCGGGCGTGCTTTCTCCCGCAAGATATGAACGCGCTGCTCTAGCCAATTATCGCACCTCATTGCTTCATGGGAAAATGCCAATACCGTCTCAACCATGCTGACCACGCCATTCTGCAAGACTGCAAACGAAAAAGAATTCGCACTCAAAACAACACCAAAACGTTGCCATGCCCTGTATATATATGTGTGTCACAGAAAAGCAACAAAAAAATTCAGTAAAGTACTTTCTGGCGCGCGGAAGCGGACGTGCAACCTTTTGCTCCTGAGCGCACGGCATTAGTTACTGAGCCATGAAGGCACATGTCCCTCAACCCTTACACCACTTATCATTGCGGTGCCGATCTTGTGGGAAACAGCGTATTTTCAGTGTCATCGGCAAAATGGCAGAAAGGGCACACTCGGCGCCCTGCTCATTGCGACGCGGGAGCACACGCTCATTTTCCATGCGTAAGTTGCCCATCTGGGAGGAGGGGTGGGTGGGAGGTAGATGTTTGTGTGTGCGCAAGCTAATCTCGCTGCGGAGGAAAATCGCACACCTTGCACTTTCACCAGGACGATTGTGTTGTAGTTATCGGGTGCACAAAGGTCACTTCGCTCGCTGCACAGTGCCCATTTGTGAAAACATAGAGCTTTTCAGACACAGCGAAGTAATAACTGTGACACTTTTTATGTCGAACTCATCTGTACTTATGAATATGTGCATCATTTCTGCGTGAGCAGGGCACTGCACGTTTTGATCTGCTTACCATTCTTCGAGCGACATTTTAGTTTGTTGCTATAGTAAAACCCCGTTAATTCGGACTTCACGAGACCGGAGAGAATGTCCGAATTAACTGAAGGTACGAATTATCGCGAGTACGAACAAAATACTTCAAAAATGTCTCCTACACCATCAAGCTTCTATTTCTTAAAAAAAGTTTGTGATCGCGGTTTGCTTCACGGACGCAATGTGCGACGAAGTCACAATTTTGCAAAGTTCTTGCAGGTGGCTTAGTCCGCACACAGTGTTCGAGGAAAACATGCATATGTCTTCCAAAACGGCCAACGCATGCGCCGCCTCCGTCATTGTGTGGCGTGGACGCGCGTCTGCATCACTTGCGTCCTCGTCAGCTGGTTCCCTTTCGCCGTCCAAGACTTCGGCGACGATATCGCTGTCTTTCACTGTGCCAGCTACGGCAACATCGCTGTCAATTGCGAAATAATCGCCAAGGAGCACATCAGCTGGCATGATGCTCACATAGCGGCCGTCTTGCTCCTCGCCGGTTTCTTCATCAGCCACCACACCCGGATCAGCAGCGCCGTGCACGAAATCGCTATGCCTAAAGCAGTTTGCGACTACTGTAGGTGGTGTGTTGTTCCACAGGTATGTCAGCATGTGGATTGCGCTTAGCATGCTTACTTCGTACTGCTTGCTTGACTCCATGCAGAGCAACATCCGCTCGAGTACCTGCCATCAATAGCGGCTTTTCATGAACTGTATGATTCCCTGGTCCCATCGGCGGCAGGGAAGCCGTTGTGTTCGGAGGCAGGAATAGCAGTTCAATGCTTTCGAGGCCGGACACCTTCGTGTGCACACTGCAGCTGTCTAGCTTGAACAACACCTTCCGAGACTTGGCCACAGAGTGGCGGTCGAGCTGACGCAGCCAAGCTTGAAAAAGTTCGGCAGTCATCCAAGCCTTTCTGTTGAACCGGTAGTCGACAAGCAGCTGCCTAATATTCTTAAAACATCTTGGCTTCGCGGGCTTCCCGATCAACAACAGCGGCAGCTGCTCTGTGCCGGTCATGCTAGCAGCCAGAAGAACTGTCACGTGCTCTTTACTTCATTTTCCACCGATGCACGAGTCCCTCTTAAACACGATTGTCTTGTCA